ATACTCAGTACACATGAATCTGTGACATTGCTGCATAATATTCCATTGTATAATTGTACCATACCTTTTGATTTAGGCCTCTATTGGTGGACAGTGAGATAGTCTTGAGATTGTTGCTTTTTATATACATTTCAGTGAACATGCAACTATATAGGTTAAATTATTAGTAATTGAATTATGAGGTATATGTGCATTTTAGATTTTGGTAACTTGTCAAATTTCCCTCTAAAACGATAATTCTAGTAATGCATACCTGCCAACAATATATGAGGTCTTAAGTTTTTCCTGAGTTTTCTGTTGGTCTCTTCATCTAACAAATAATTGTTGAGTACCTGCCATGTGTCAAGCACTGTGGCAGGTACCAGGGAAAGTATTCAAGTCAGAAGTTGTCTCTGCCCTCATGCAGCCCAGAGTTTGAACCATAGGAAGTCTTCAGGTGTTTTGTTTGGTCAGTTTCATTTTTTATAATATGATGGAATTAATTTTTAGTTTTTAAATATTGAGAAATTTTACATAAAAATCTCTAGATTCCTAGCTTCCCTTGAAAAATTGGAAAATTTGGCATAATAGGACAAGGTGGATTTCTTCATGGTATTAGTTTGCTAGCCTTTAGTAGCCACTGCCCTTTTCAGATGGTGCATTGGGCTTTCTATTATTGGAAAAGCACAGTTTATACCACTTCTGATGGTCTCATACTTGGCCTCAACTCTTAACATTTCTTGTTAGGATCTTGGAGGCATCTGAGTTGGTGGTTTAGTAGATATTCAAATTTAACATGTCCCAAACTGAACTCTGATTCTACCCCAAAAACCTGTTCCACTCAGCCTTCCTTATCTCCCTTCTCATTGGTCAGGCCAAAGCTTTTGTATCATCCTTTGCTTGTTTATCTCACAATCCATATCCAATTTGTCAGAAAATTCTGTTGGATATACCTTCAAAATATATCTCAATAAGACTACTTATCCCTTCCACCTCAGCTTCTCTGTCCATGCCACCATCATCAACATGGATTCTAGTAGTAGTCTTCTAGTTGGTCCCCCTGCTTCCACCTTTGTCCTACTGACTTCTCAACACAATAGCCAGACAGTCCTTTTAAAGTGAAGGATCATATTACTCCTGTGCTCAGAATCGATAGTAGCTCCTTATTTAACTGAGAATAAAACTAAAGTCCTTAAGTTACCTAATGTACAAGGTGTACCTTTTCCATGCCAGGTACACTTCAGTCGTAAGGCTGTTGTCTTGGTTTTTCCATTTTTGTGTGCAGTTCTTCTCAGATAGCTGCATGGACAGGTTCCTTAATTCTTTGTTCAAAGGTTACCTTCTCATTGAGGCCTACACTGACTATCTTGTTTAAAATTTTACCCTGTCTTCTGCCAAAACTGCTACTGCCCCAAGTGCCCTATGCCTGTCCTTTTTTCCCCCTATAGTACTCTTAACCTTATTGCATATTATATTAATAGTATTTACTTATTACTTTTAACCTTACTCCATATTATATTATTTACTTATTATTTTTATCATCAATTTTTTTTTCTCTACTAGAGTATAAACTGTGCAAAGGAGGAATTTTAGTGTTTTATTTACTGATGCATCCCAGTTATGAGGACTAGTGTCTGGGACACAGTTGGTACTTACTATATATTGAAAAAATGAATGAATTTGAGTTTGCAGTCCCTGCTCTGCAGTTTGTGTTTTTCTTACTGTTTCATTAGATATTAAATATATTTCTAGTGCTTATGTGTAAAGGACTATGTTAAGCCCTTTATTCTCATCCTCTGAATCCTTGTACTTTGTGAGGTAGAAACTGTTATTATCCACTTATAGACAAGTAAATGGAGTCATTGAAGGGTTAAATAATTTGCCCAAGGTCCCAGCTTAGTAAAGAGAAAAACTGGAATTCAGATTTAGCCAATCTGGTACATGAGTCTGCTCTAAACTATGATACTGTGCTACTTTTTATTTTAAGAAAATTAGCCCTTTATCCGATGTGTTACAGATTCTTTTTCTCTGTTTATAATTTTTGACTTAGTTTTTAGCCTTCAAAAGTACTTTTTATATAGTAAAAATATTTTCCTTTGAGACTTTTTAATTTAATTATTGGAAGGGCCTTCCAGATTCCAAGATTAAAAAAAAAATCTTACTCATTGTTTTCCTTAGATTTGATTTAAAATAGAATTTTAAGATAATATGAATTATGTTTATTTTTGTATCACTGACAGCATTATGGAGATTTTGTTTGTGGAGAACAAGACTAAAAGGTGGAAGGACATTTAGAAGCCTCACACTAATTCAAGTAAGAATTGCCTGAGAACAGGCTCTAGGATGGACAGGAAAAGACTGATTTCAAGAAATACTGAAGTATAATCTTCAAGTCTTTGTGACTGATTAGCTGTGAGTCAAAAGGAGGACTCCGGAATAACTCCCAGGTTTTTGGTTGTGATAGTTTGAAGGAGAGAGGGAGTATGTTTGTTGTGGTGCCATTTATTTGTTGAATGGATAAATCGATTGAGAAGTTAAAACAGGAAGGAACAGGTTTGGAAAATAAAATGGCATTCAGTTTTTGATATATTGAGTTTGAGATGCCTCATGAACATCTCATTTTTGACACTTAAGTTCATTAGGCACTTTGATAAATGAGTCTTAGCTTAGGAGAGAAAACTAGGCTAGCCTAGGGAGGAAGTGAGGTAGATGGCAGGTAGAAACTGTATGGGTACATGAGCTATTTTCCTGTCTTTTTTTTTTTTTTTTTCAGAACTTACTCCATTGGATACAATATAGTAATAGCTTGGAAGCAGTTTAGAGGTTAGAGATAATGTGTAGAAATGTCCTGGCGTTTATAGTAGACCTACTAAGTAAACTGAACTTCTTATGATTGTTTTTCTTGGCGTGTTTCTGTCTGGTGTCACAGTTTTGTTTTGAAGCCAGTTACTCTAAAGATAAATTGTATACCTGGATTGTGAGCTATAGTTATTTGTAGATATTTAATGATTTGAAAGGTTCTAATATATGCATAAAAGTTAATATTCGTGGGTGATTTTTTTATTGTTTAAGGCCAAAAAACGAACCCTAGAGGGTTTTTTTTTAAAATACCAGTTAACTGATTTATTATTTGTAAAAACTCCATGAGATAGGCATTGTTTACATTATCTGCATATTGCAGATGAGGACATTGAGATACAGGAGAGCTAAGTAATTTACTCAAAATTATAGCTAATGATTAACTTACTAGAAAGGATTTAAATCCAGGCAGTCTGGCTGTAGAGCCACTGTGCTTATGCCAAACTAAGTGTTTCCCCGAAAATAAGATAGGGTCTTATATTTATTTTTCCTCAAGAAGACACCCTAGAGCTTATTTTCAGGGGATGTGTTATTTTTTCCCCTCAAAGCCTCAGCTTGTAGCATGCACAGGATGGCTGGGACCTACAAGGGAAGCTGGACCTTGTTGGTGGGGCTGCCCACACCCTTCCTGTCACCTCTGGGATAGTAGCTGTCACAATGGGGCAGATGAGAAGGGCTACTGTCTTCTTTACCACTCGGCGATGAAATGCATGGGTTGTGCAGATGCGCTGCGTAGCCACGCCCATCACTAGGTCTTATTTTCGGGGTAGGGCTTATATTGTGCAAATGCTTAACAATCCTGCTAGGGCTTATTTTATTGGTAGTTCTTATTTTCGGGGAAACACGGTATTAATGAGGGTAACTTGCTTTTTTTTGGTGACATCTCTCCACTCCCACCTTCAGGTCAGAATCCATTGTAGAGACACTGGTATTCATCCCTAGGAATGTATGTACTGCATCACATCCATACCTTCACTTTGGAGAAAAATGAAAGATGTTTCTGAAAAAAAGCATGCTGCCTGTGTCATTAAGGGTACATTAAAAATCAGGATGTGCTGCTCTCTAGTATTTATCATATGTTTGATCCTTGTGGAATTTCAACAGGCCTTTTACATAACATTGTTTCATTTAATCTTAACAGCAACCTTGTGATAGCTTGTACTGGTACTTGCATTTTCAAATGAAGAGACTAAGGTGTGAAGAAACGGATAAGTTGCCCAAGGTTGTACAGCTAGGAAGTCTGAAATTGAGGTGCTCAAAATTTCTTACTTTTTAAAATGCTATACCACAATGACTTATTTGTTTTTCATTTATGATTAAGAAGATTCTATTGAAATCCAAAATAGCTTTCCCAGTGCATTCTCCATACTGCAAATTTTAGTTTTTGCATTTTATTCATGTTAACACTGTAAATTAGAGAGATAGAAAATTAAGAAACAGAATAAATCCCAGTATTGATCTTTAGGCAAAAACCCTAAAGTACATGTTAATTTCATTTAAAAAAATTAAAACGTTATTACATATGGTGATCAGCCAAGATCTCATCTCCTCCACCCTCATTCCTACTCAGCCATTGAAGTCATTGTCTTAAGTTGCTGCTAGTTAAAAATCACAGTAGCTTCTGTTTCTGTTCAGATTACAAGTAGTTGTGCTTCTTGCTCTCTCTGGTAACTTCTTCCATTAGATAGGAACAGTGGCTGATTTGAAGCTCTGTTTAATTATTCCAACCATCTGTTCAGTTTCTGATAACTGGTAAAGCTCTTGAGGATTGCTGACAACATGAGGAGTATTGTCCTTAGGCCTATGGTATATCTGACAAGTATAAGTCACAGAAAAATCCAATTGGCTAATATAATAAAATTATTAAACCTTGGGTTATATAGATTGGCAGTGATCATTGATGACAGTAGATTTTGTTACTCCTTTTGCTTTCCTTTTTGTTTGCTTGCTTTCACTTACTTTTGTTTTCTCATTCTTTGTTCCTTTCTATTTCTCTTTTGCCTCCCTTACTTGTTACTTTAGGCCATATAAAGGTACTGCTTAATTGATCAGTGACATTGAAAGAAGTTTCCAGTTGTCCTTGATTTCTTACAATCCAAAGAAATCCTTCATAGATTCCTGGTACTGTATGTCGTAAACGCTGTTATTAAACTTTGTTTTAGGAATTGCAACCATGAATGAAGAAAATATAGATGGAACTAATGGATGCAGTAAAGTTCGAACTGGTACTCAGAATGAAGCAGCATTACTTGCTTTGATGGAAAAGACTGGTTATAACATGGTTCAAGAAAATGGGCAAAGGAAATTTGGTGGTCCTCCTCCAGGTATGGATTTGTTTATATTCTTTTAAATTAAATTTTGTAATGTAGTCATTTAGATTAGGTATATGAGGGCTGCCTAGAGAGTATCTGGACATTGTTAACATAGTTTTTCATGTTACATGGTTGGATACTTTCTGGACAGCCAGAAAGTATGGTCCCACAAGTGTCCCAAACAATAGCTCTTTCCTTGTAACTGCTTTAAGACCTCATCAGTCATTTTTACTGTTGTGAGAAGAAAGAGGTAGATTATAAATAGTATTCATATCTTACTCTTACATATTTTTTAATCCTGCTCTGGGTCTAAGAAGCAGTTGAGAAAGAAGTCGGGATTAAAGCAGTTTGGAAAAGGATACTCTAGGTATTAAAAAGAAGATCATTTTGGGAGAAATCTGAAAGAACAGTGAGTAGAAGAGTGGTGTTTATACTATTAATAGAGAACCAAATGCAAACAGGTGAACAGATACAAAGTTTGACCTTTCTACCAATAGCCAGTTCCTTTGTTCAACACCCTCCAGTTAACTTTAAGTTCTGGCTTCTAGTTTTCTTAATGGCTGTATTGCTTAACACTTTCCTCTTCCCTCAAGTACACTTCAGCCATACAGGCTTCCGTACTCTATGTTGTTAAACATACAAAGCACTTGCTTTTTCTTCTTCATGAATACCCTTCTCCCAGTTTCCCCTGTAGGGAAGAGCTTTGGGGAAGAACCTGAAGAGGACAGTGAAGGGTAATCACCAAACATGGCAGCCACAACTGCCAGGTAATCCTTGTGGCTCATGCTCTCATTTCATTCAGGTCTCTGCTTAAATTTCATGTACCCAGAAATTTACCTGACCACGCTATTAAAGATAGCACCCATTATGTGGCTTGATTTTTCTTCATAGCACTTATCACTCACTTATTTTCTCCCTTTTGTATTGAATATAAGCTTCATGAGGGAAGGGGCTTTATTTTGTTCACTATTTATTCCCCAACACTTAGACTAGTGGATGGCATGTAGGAGGCTCACGGCAGTTTATTGAATGGATAAGTGATTGAGTAGTGAATATAAATATCTTATTAGAATTTGTGTGTCTGTTTATTTTTGTCTTTCAGGTTGGGAAGGTCCACCTCCACCTAGAGGCTGTGAAGTTTTTGTAGGAAAAATACCTCGTGATATGTATGAAGATGAGTTAGTTCCTGTATTTGAAAGAGCTGGGAAGATATATGAATTTCGACTTATGATGGAATTTAGTGGTGAAAATCGAGGTTATGCTTTTGTGATGTATACTACAAAAGAAGAAGCCCAGCTAGCCATCAGAATTCTTAATAATTATGAGATTCGGCCAGGGAAGTTTATTGGTGTGTGTGTAAGTTTGGATAATTGCAGATTATTTATTGGAGCTATTCCCAAAGAAAAGAAGAAAGAAGAAATCTTGGATGAAATGAAGAAAGTTACAGAAGGAGTTGTAGATGTCATTGTTTATCCAAGTGCAACTGATAAGACCAAAAATCGTGGTTTTGCATTTGTTGAATATGAATCTCACAGAGCTGCTGCTATGGCAAGGAGGAAACTAATTCCAGGTAAACCAATGCTTTTAAAGGTCATTTTTTCCATATTAACTTTATTACAAATATGGAAAAATGATAGTACTTTGTAGAGCAATATTATCAAAATATGTAATGCCAGTTAAAGAAGAATAAAGAACTGAGTAAAGAGGTAAAATACATTAAATGATTGTAAAAGACAAGAAATTGTTCCTATAATGTCATATTTATGATAATTTACTGATTTATTGAATGTATACACTTTAATTGAAGTATTAATTATTTTATAAAAATGAGCAATACTTAATTCTGCTAATAAAGGTCTATCTTGGAAGTGTATTTGTTCTATTGATTCTTAATTTCCACTATAAATTCGAATTAGGTTTGCTGTAGTAAAAACTTTTGTTTGAATAGGAAAGAAATGATTAATCAAATATATTGATGTATATTTGAATTTCTGTTTCTCTGCAGAAACAGTTTTACTTAAAATGCTTTTAATTTTTTTTTGTTTTAATTGTTTAAATTAATTCTTTTTTATAGGAACATTCCAACTATGGGGCCACACCATTCAGGTAGATTGGGCTGACCCAGAGAAAGAGGTTGATGAGGAAACCATGCAGAGAGTTAAAGTTCTCTATGTAAGAAATTTAATGATCTCAACTACAGAGGAAACAATTAAAGCAGAATTCAATAAATTTAAGCCTGGTGCAGTGGAACGAGTAAAGAAACTTAGAGATTATGCTTTTGTTCACTTTTTTAACCGAGAAGATGCAGTGGCTGCTATGTCTGTTATGAATGGAAAATGCATTGATGGAGCAAGTATTGAGGTAACACTGGCAAAACCAGTAAATAAAGAAAACACTTGGAGACAGCATCTTAATGGTCAGATTAGCCCCAATTCTGAAAACCTGATTGTGTTTGCTAACAAAGAAGAAAGCCACCCAAAAACTCTAGGGAAGCCGCCAACTCTTCCCACTCGTCTCAATGGTCAGCATAGCCCAAGCCCCCCAGAAGTTGAAAGATGCACCTATCCTTTTTTCCCTGGAACAAAGCTTACTCCAATTAGTATGTATTCTTTAAAATCCAATCATTTTAATTCTGCAGTAATGCATTTGGATTATTACTGCAACAAAAATAATTGGGCACCACCAGAATATTATTTGTATTCAACAACAAGTCAAGATGGAAAAGTACTCTTGGTATATAAAATAATTATTCCTGCTGTCGCAAATGGATCCCAGAGTTACTTCATGCCAGACAAACTCTGTACTACGTTAGAAGATGCAAAGGAACTGGCAGCCCAGTTTACATTACTTCATTTGGGTAAGTTTAAAAATACTTTAAATAATATCATAGAATATAAAATTAGGAAATACTGTTATAGATTATGAATTCATTAATTTTGAACTGTTTACATTAGTGGTATTTAACATTAATTTTATCTCAATTTTGCAAATTCGTGGTAAACTTTGTTGAAACTTGACTCCTGTGTAATATTCCTACATTTAGCTGTTTAAGCATTACTTACATAGGGGAAAATTTGGTTTTGTTTTACTGTACAGTTCATGACTCTATTGCATTAATTGTTTTTATAATGACTGATCTCATTTGCAATAAAAATTTTATATAAGGTTTAAGATTTATTAATTAGACCAGTTTATAAGAATGTTCCTGTATCTTTGGTGAAGTCTACACATTAATCTTTTGAGGGGAGCAGTGGTAGGAAAATCAGAGGCATTTCAGGTGAATCATGTGTAGACACAGCCTTATGCTCACCAATCTGGAAATTTGTCATTATTACTCATAAAAGACAAAAAGCATCATTAAGAGATGTTTATGACCATTCTCTTCTTTAATTTCATGCTTTTAACAAAGTTTTCTAAGATGTTTGAGGGATAATTAAGGGTTTGGGAGTGTAAAGATATGCTAATTAAATGTTTGACATTGTAAAGGAAAAGATATAATATTACACTGGTGTTTTCCTATTTCCTGTTCTTATGTTAGTCTTTTCCCCCCTAACAGTTTATCTCATTTTTTTAATGCAGCTATAGATTTTAGTTGGTGATGACTTTGTGCCCAAAATAATATTTATTAGAAGAGTAGTGGCTTCTTGAGAGTCAGCAATAAAAGGGAAAGATCTACTGAGGATTATAATTTTCTTGATTATAATTGTCAGACTCTTAGCTTAAAATTGATTTTTTATATGGTTGCAGAATCATAGTACTGAAGCTTATATATATTTCAAATTGATATTCTCAAGTTTAAGAACAGGCAGTAAAAAAGGAAAAACATTTCAAAAAGGAGAGTCATTTTTGTATGACTTGCTTATCTACCATAGCCACTCTCATGGTATTATGAATATTTTTAGGAGATTCTGATTTGGAGATACCATCAACATTTTAGTGTTGAAGGTAGGATTTCCTTCAAAGACGCTTTTCAGTAGTGTCCTCAATTATTAGTTTGGAGATATTTGGGAATTTAACAATCATCTAAGTTAATAAATTTTTAGGTATGATTTCTATTGATGCACAAAGTGGAGTTCTTCCATTTTTCTTTTAAGAAAGACAATCTAAGTTAAAGATAAAATTAGGTGGATAGCAAGTAATTCCAATTAGGGTTCTTTGAGATAAATAGGTTAAATATTCTTTTTGAGTGGGTTATAGGTAATTAGTTGCTGAGCAAGGTTTTCCCAGAATACTTGTGTCTGATCTACTGTGGTAATGTGGAAACATTTTTTATTTCTATCCCCACTCATTCCCTTACAAATTTAACTTAAACTGCTAAGATTCTTTATACCATAGTCATCTTAGTCTATTTTATGGCAGATTTTATGTAGACATGTTTTGCCCATCTGGTTATCCCATACGGAAGATCAGATTCTACATGGAACCAGAGGTTCTTCATCAGCTTTTAATTCCCTTATTGGGATGCATTTTACTTGAGTCCAAGGGCCATAGTTAACTGGTACTGACTTCTAATTCCCTAAGAAAACTCCTGATCAGGTATAGTATTACCAACTTGATTATGGTTAATTAGTGATAAAATTAGCTTTGAAGAATGAAATCCTTAGAGGGCACATGCAGTTTGCTTTAGTCATCTATTTCAGATTTTATTAAGCTTATATCAGAGCTAATTTTAATAAAAAGTTGAACAGTTTTTGTTGTATGTATTTTCTCAGGCTATATTGACCATCAAAGAGAAGAGCTAATAAAATGTAAGCAAGATTCAAATCAAAACAAAAATTAAACCCTAGAGCCTATTTGAGTGCAGTACACAAGGACTGAGGACTTGTCTGTTGACAGTGATACAAAAATCCTATGGGGCTTGACTAGAAATACAAGTGGAGGTTGTTGAGTTATAGGCAGTAAGACAATTAGGCAACTGAGGGAAAAGCATTAACTCAGGGAAGCAGAAGAGCCAGAGATCAGGAGACTAGGAAACTTTGATCAGAAAACAAATGTCAGACCTTCAGAGGCCATTAAAGTAGGGGCAAGGGCAGGAGGTTCCATGTTGCCATATGGCAGGGTAAGATTAGATTGAATATTGCTATAGCAATGTTCTGGCTCACTTTTTCTCCTCTCTGTTAATATTGGAGCCTCTGGGCTTTAAAGGGTTGATGCCTTTTTAGGTACACCTTGCTTTAGGTAAAGGTTGTAGGGTTTTGACAGATTCAGGATTGAGATCAGTTGTTGATAGTGGTGTGTTACTGAATCTTGCTAAATATTTTCATGCTTTAATGATTGAATTTTTCTGATGTCTTGAGAGGTTGTTATTGGAGATCTTTGCATATTAAATCATGTTTTGGTTATTTTTCTTAAAGAATTCAATAAATCTAATTTCCTAGATAGTGCTTTTGACTACTTTTTTTTTTCCTTATGTATTTGAAATTTTTTTAAAAATTTCAGAATATTGCCGGGGGTACAAACGTTTTGGTTACATAAATTACTTTTGTACTGTACCATTTGAGTCAAAGTCATAAGTGTGCCCATCTCTCTGATAGTGTGCATTGTACCCATTAGGTGTGAATTTACCCATACCTTCCCCCCTCCTCCCTCCTGCTTGATTTCCAATGAATGTTATTTCCTAACTACTATTTTTAAGATATTTTCTTTAGGGATAGGAATTTAAAAAAAATTTGCCTCAGTATTCTTATTTTAACTCTTCAGTTTGATGTTATTTCAGGCATTATTATCCTATCTTAACCTTGATGATTTTTGACTATTATATGTGATATAAATAGTCATTTCCCTTTTTATTTGGAGGTTAGGATAGATAGGTCGTATACTAAATGTTTGGTATATAGAGACATTTTGTGTCATTCTGTATCACTTCTGTTTAAATAAGTTTTCTAGTTCATAATTTTGTTATCTGTTTATTAATGGGTTAGACTATCAATATTAATAATCCTGCTTTTCCTTAAAGTTTGACTCTGAGCCTTCCAATATTGCCACTCCTTTTCTCTAGAGGATTCTTTGCCATGTAGGAGTGGAATAAGCAGAATCAAGGAGATAAAGGAAAGTCTTGGAGAGTTAACAGTTTTGAAGAAGAAAGTCCTGGAGAATACTTAGTGGAAGGAGAAAGTTGGTAGTGTATTGATAATTCACCTTGTTAAATAATTTATCAACAAATAATTATAGGCAAGGCATCTGTTCTCTTGTCTTTATGTGTGTTTAGTACTCACTGATGCAAGTGCTATTTTGTTCTTGTATGACCAACTAAAGCTTTAAAAAAAAGGGATGAGGAACTTCTGTGTCACAAACTAGCTCATGCCATTGATTTAATTTCATCTGATTTGTGTACTGTTGTTCTGGCCATGATTGATGAAGTTTTATCAAAGAATCAGACCTGTTTTGAAAGCTTGTTATACACTAAGTGTACTTTCCTAAGCATTCTGGAGCTAAAGATAAATAAAACATTGTTTTTTTTCTCAAGGAATCAGTCTAGTGAACAAGGCAAATATACAAATTCTATTCATACAAGGAAAGGGAACACCTCCCACTTGATTTGAGTGGTAAACATTTGTGGACAGAGAGTGGCACAACAGGAGCAAACTCCTATTAGAAAAATAGAATGAGGCTGGGGCACGGTGGTTCACCCCTGTAATCCTAGCACTCTGGGAGGCCAAGGCAGTAGTCAGGAGTTCTAGACCAGCCTGAGCAAGAGCAAGACCCTGTGTTTACTAAAAATAGAAGAATTAGCCAGATGTGGTAGTACGTGTCTGTAGTCTGAGCTACTAAAGAGGCTGAGGCAGGAGGATCGCTTGAGCCCAGGGTTTTGAGGTTGCAGTGACCTAGGCTGATGCCATGGTACTAGCCCAGGAGACAAAGTAAGACTCAAAAAAAAAAAAGAAAAGAAAAAGAAAAATAGCATGGTAGTAGGTTAATGGCAAGCAGTTCTGTATAGTGTTTGCTTTGGTGGTTTCAGTCAGATTTTAAGAGGAATTAAGATATTGAAAAGATGTAGACTTGAGTTACTTGAAAATTTATTAGTCCTGCTTTTTAAAACTTCACAGGTTTTTTTTTTTTTAAATAAAACTACATTGGGTGTCCTTTTCCTCAAGCAAGTAATTTTTTCCTAGATGTATTATCCTGTTTTGTGTGGACCATTTTATGTGTGAATATTTATCTTTCTAATATCTTTGTACTTTATTCAATACTAATTTTATGGCTGACTTGTATATTGCTTCTCATATGTAACTGTAAAATGACATACATCATTAGAATCTTTAGTTTTTTTCAAGTTATTGAGTGGTATTTAGTATATATATAAATGGTAGGCATGATACTCATGTTTACTTTCCCTTTAATAGCATTGAAATTTGGTTTTGATTTCTGTTACTACTTGTAACTTTGTTGGAAGACAGGGGTTTCTATACTATTATGAAAAGCTTTAATCCAAAAAATGATTGGTGCTTTTTTTCTTGTGAGCTCTCATTTCCAGATTGATGGGCAGAAATGCAATAATAAAAAAATAGAATTTTAGATTTAAAAATATGGCAATAAATTGCTTATAAATAAAGAGAAACTTTCTCCAGTTTTTTTTAATTTAAGAAATAATTTTAGTAGACACTTAAGCTAAATATAAAATGATTATATCATATTATAATGGAATTTTTATTATAAATAGAATAATAATACTTTCAGAAAGGTATACTTTTCAGTTTTAATGATAGCTCTTTGATGATACTATTTCAAACTGATATTTTAAAGCACAAAGGTAATTTGATGGGTTTGCTTTAAAATTTACCTAGTTAAATGAAAAGAAGGCATCAGCATCAACAATTTACATATTTATTTGTTTTCATATGATCAAATGGTGAGACC